CAGGAACATGACCATACCATTACTAAAAGAAAGGCATATCTCGGACGCAAACGAGCGTTTGAAATAGTCTATGGTAACTGGGATAAGTCATTCGTAGATCTGCCTAGGTACATGGCTGCACTGCAGCAGTTCAACCCCGGTACGATTGTTGAATGGAAGCTTGAGCAGAGTCTGGGTAAACCAGAATATATATTCAATTACGTGTTCTGGGCGTTTAAACCAGCAATTGATGGTTTTTCACATTGTCGGCCCATAATATCCATAGACAACACTCATGTCTATGGGAAGTACGATATCAATCTGTTGATAGCCGTGGCAGTAGATGCTAATGGACAGATATTTCCTCTAGCTTTTGTTGTTTGTGCCAATGAAAGCCAAGAGACGTGGACGCTATTTTTGAACCACTTGAAAGAGCACGTTGGCAAACAGCGTTCCGGTATTTGTCTAATATCTGATCGGCACGGTGGTATCTTAAGTTCTGTGGAGAACTGACCTGCATGGCAAGAACCTTATGCCTACCATCGTTACTGTGTTAGGCACTTTAAAGCCAATTTCTAGAAGGCATATCCCAACAAGGATCTGCATGATTTGATGTGGATGGTAGCAACAGACCACCAACAGCATAAATTCGGACGCACATGGAATATACCAGGCAAGAAGACGAGGCAGCCTATCGTAGGTTAATGCGACATGACCCTGAAAAGTGGACTTTGCATGCGGATGGTGGAACACGATGGGGAACTCTAACTACAAATGTGTCAGAGTCTTTCAACGGGTTATTGAAGTCGGCAAGAGGATTGCCTGTCACAGCCATGATGCGGATATCATTCAAGCAGATGGTGGAGAGGTTTGTTGAAAGGTATGCAGCTGCAACGTCATTGATGGAAAAGGGTGTTGAATTTATGCCAGTGCCGATGAAGAGATTTGAGAAATACAGACGGCGAGCGCATTGGCATTCGTTTTTTCAGTATGATAACGAAAGAAATATTTTTGAAGTTCGTACCGCTATCCATGAAACTCGGGGGAATAATGTACATACTGTAAATGAATCTAGAAGGTTATGCTCTTGTGGGAAATGGTCCATCTACCACATGACTTGCTCATATGCCATCAAGTGCTTTCAACAAGTTGGTTTAGGTGCAACCAACTATGTTGATCAACAATATAGTGTTGGGAAGTACCTAAACACATATAGTGGGCAGTTGCAGCCAGTGAGTGCTGAGCATTATTGGCCGCCTGAACCATTTAAAATGGTGTGTAACAAGTCCTACTTGCGTCGAATACAGGTGCAGAAGAGAACACGTATACGGAACCAAATGGATGTTAGTGATACCGTTTATGCGCGCAGATGTGGTATGTGCTCGCAAACAGGACACGACCGTCGAAAATGTCCTTCGGCTGGTTTGGGTGGCAATATTACTCAAGCTCGTGGTGGTCCTTCTTCTATTATGCCTAACTATCAATGAGTTTATGATGTAATATTTAGTTGTTTTGTTTATGTTGCAAGTTTTATAAAATAAAATTATGTTTGTTAATTATGAGTTGAACTTTTTCATTTTAATTTTTTTAATGATATTAAAAAAATTATATATTCGGAAGAACTGGAAACAACATTGAAATATCATAAAGCTAATTAATTTAATTTTAATTATGTTTGTTATTTTATATATGTGTGTTGTCTTGTCGAACTGACATAAAGCTGTTTCGTACCCGTCGGCACCTTTAACACACAATGCATAGCGCGGTCAAATACTACGTTATGTGTGTATATAGCGCGGTTAAATAGTACGTTATGTGTGTTGTCTTGTCGAACTGAAAAGGCTGCCCAACTGACATAAAGTTGTTTCGTACCCGTCGGAACCTCTAAAAACACGCAACGCATAGCGCGGTCAAATACTACGTTATGTGTGTATATAGCGCGGTTAAACAATACATTATGTGTGTTGTCTTGTCGAACTGAAAAGGCTGCCCAACTGACATAAAGTTGTTTCGTACCCGTCAGAACCTTTAACACGCAACGCATAGCGCGGTGAAATACTATGTTGTGTGTGTTGATATAGCGCGGTTAGATACTATGTTATGTGTGTTGTCCTGCCTATAAATAACGGGCTCATTCTAGTTATTTTATGCGCCCAACAATAAGTAATAGCAAATCTGTCAAGAAAAGCAAGGTTTTTTCAATGCAAAAATGGCTCAACCTCTTAATGTACCAAGGTGCGAGTGTGGAAAAAATGCATGATGCGAAGATGTTGGGATAATGGTAAAGTTGGACGGCGCTACTGGCACTGTATGAACAAGTTTAATTAGGTTCCCGACGAACCTATTTGCGATTTTGAGGTATGGGTTGATGAACCCTGTTATCAGGAATACTACAAAGAATAAGATGAATTCCTCATTGGGATGAAGGTGGAAAGTTAAGAGAAGGCGACACAGGAGAGAACAAGAAAAGAAAAATTAGCATACGCAAAGAATTAACCAGATGAATTGGTGTAACTCGTCACATACAGGGGCTGCCCTTCCATAAAGCAAGTAAAGCAACTGCTTTAGGCCCCATATTTATGGAGGCCTCATTTTTTGTTACACCTAATAGTCTATGTATAAGTTTAAAAAAGAGTTTTGTAAAGTGAAAAAGTTTGATTTCTTTCTTTAACAAATATAGAGAAGAAGGATTTGCAACTGCTATGATTTCTACCAAGGAAATTGCACTTGAAATGAATATCGAACCTGAATTTCGTAAGAAGCGTGTGATATATAAGAAGTAACAATTTGATGCGAATGTTGATAATGAAATCTCAAAATCTTTCGAAGAGTCATTTAGAGTTGATGCTTTTATACATAATAGACAAGGCTATTTTTTCACTTCAAAATAGATTTGAACAATTCGAAGCATATGAAAATATTTTTGGTTTTCTATTTGGCAGTAAAAACTAAGATCACTAAATGTTGGAAATTTGAAAAAAATATTGTCTAATCTTGAATGTTCCTTAAAGCATAAGAATTAATTTGATATTGATGGTTTAGGTTTATTTTATGAATTAAAAGAATTTAAAAAAATAGTACAATTAGAAGATAACAGTTTAATTGATATACTTAATCAAATAAAAAGATTTAATTTTTTTTTCCAAATGCATGAATATCTTATGGAATAATGTTCATAACTCATGTTACCGCTTCAGCGGAAAGAAGTTTTTAAAATTAAAATTGATAAAATCTTACCTAAGAACAATAATGTCACAAGAAAAGTTAAATGGATTAGCTATATTATCAATTGAGAAAAATACTTATTAGGAGTTATTGATTATAAGAAAATTATTAATAACTTTGTATTTAAGAAAAACTAAAAAAATAGACTTCAAATAAATAATAAAAAAAATTAAAAGTTAAGGCCCCTCATAAATTTTGGCTTTAGGCCACAAAATTCGTCGGGCCGCCCCTGGTCACATAAGAATCCCTTAATGAACTTTTTAAATAACACTAAGCTGTAAACTCTCACATAATTCAACTCAAGTTAGTCCAAACCAATGACGAAGTCAGAAATTTTGCAAAGAATGTTCAAGATTTAATATATATTTATAAAATATAATTTTTTACCTATATATATAGTACTACTATAATTTTTTATATACTAAGTATAATTTTCCGATCGAAGAGTTTTCGATGGCTACGCCACTTGTCCAATCTTCGCATCGATGAAAGACTGTTTATAAGCAACAAATTAACAAACAATATTGTACAGTCAATGTTTGCCGTGGAAGCAGACAATAATATTTGTATTAGGGTAGACTGTGATATCACATCCTTTAGGGTGCAGTCATTTCTCAGACCTTACATGAATGTGATGCTTTGTGCACCGAGCTGCCCCTATATTGTACAGCCAAGTTAATTTTGTAATTTAGTAGGAACGAGGAGACCCATTACCGATGAAAGAATTTAAGACACTAATTTAATAATTTGGAGGGAATCAAGGAGTTTAAGAATGCCAAAACTAATTGGTAATATTTGTATTGAAGCAAATTCAAGCTACATTAACTTCAAAATGAAAGGAAATACAATTGAATCATGAACGTGACGGAATCCATCTCCATCCAATGCGTTAATTTCTCGTCGTCAAGTACGCTAGAATCAAACTGGGGAAGAAGACAGAAGAGTATCAAATGTCGTCCCTTGCTGTCGTTTTGAAATGATATTCTAACAACTTCTCTGAATTACTCCTAAATTACATTTTTTACGTGACATATTGTCCGTCCCAAAAATATAAATATTTTTACAATTAAAAATAATTCAAAATTTAAATTTTTTATTTTATTCTAATGACATAATTATATGGTGACATAAAATATGACAGGTTTAAGACCACAACTTTAAAACGAGGGAACAATACCTTAACGACGGAAAATAGAACAGAGAATGATGATATGCGACCTTTCGAGGTAATAAGGAAGCTTTTTTCTGGTGAGGAACTGAGAATATTTTTATCACTTGACGATAAATATGACACAGTACTACATTCTTTTTTTTGATCAAGTTATTCTCCTTTATTCAAAAGGAATTTGAACCAATTTAGCCACATATCGATCACACTAGAAGAAGTTTCCACGTACCTCCTCCTACTTCTTTTCGGTACGGATACTAATGTGGACTTGATTTCAACAGCACATCTTTGAGTATATATTATGAAAAGATTTCAGTTTTTTCTCAAATCAAAAGTAAGATTCTGATATCTTTGGTTGTATTGAAAAATATCACTCTAGCTAGTGACATATGTTCTTGGAATATTTCAAAAATGCTGGATAAAATAGGTGAAAGGGAAAGTTTGAGTATGTTATGATGCTTTAGAATCCAAGTAGATCAGGCATACTTTCCTTTATCATACAAGTGATCAAGAAAAATCTAGATATATTCACCAACTTGTAATTCTTCTAGAAATTTTCACCCTTTTTAAAAGAAGTAATATACAACTCTGAGGACTCTATATATAGCTTCACAAGGTTCATGCTTCTCACAACAAATCAAGCCTTGATCATAATTTCTTGTAGCCTTCACAACTTCTTTAATTTCCACTTCACCAAAAGCTATATAAATCTTGGCATTTTGCCAATAAACTCATTATTTGTTGAACTTATAAACATGGATACGGTGATGAAGTTGGGAGCAACAAGCTCTGTGGTGATATTCAGCAAGAGTAGTTGTTGCATTTCTCATAGTATTGAAACCCTAATCCGTAGTTTTGGAGCAAACCCTACCGTTTACGAGCTCGATAGACATCCAAATGGGAAGCAAATAGAGAAGGCTCTAATTGAATTAGGGTGTCAGCCAAGTGTGCCAGCAATTTTTATAGGGAATGAGTTGGTTGGTGGTTCTAATGAGATCATGAGCCTTAATGTGAGAAGCAAGCTGAAACAATTGCTCATTAGAGCTAATGCCATTTGGGTATAGAAAGAGAAACTCTACGAGTTTTGATAGTAATTAAACCACTTATTGAGAGTCTTTTAGCTTCTTCAGATGTTTTTATAAAGTTGTTGTTTTGGTAATAGTCGTTTCTTATGGCTATATAATGACGGTTTTGTTTGTTCACAGCTGATGATCATATGAAAGTAGAAGTTAATAACAATGAGAATCTTTACGTAATGCATTTTAATCCACGGTATTAATAATAATCTTATACGACATTCTACATGCATTTTAAGTTATATATATATAATTTTGGCATTTTACGTAGATTTTATTTATATGTATTTTTACAATCAAAACATAGTCATGCTGAATCTTGGAACTTAAAAGATTCACTCGGATGACTTTCTTTTACAGCTTGTTTGGATGGTTGTTACCTATTGTATTGTAATTGGATTGTTACTTTGAATATAATATTTGTTTTGATTGTTACTTAAATTGTATTGTATTGTATCGTATCATTAAATTTATTATTACATAAAGATGAAACGTGTCACTTTATGTAACGACGGATTTGGCGTGGTGACATTGTTACCTTACTTTTTTCTCACATCTTGTCCTTCTTTATTATTAAATAATTATATTTTATTCTTTTTCCTACTTTTTCTTTAATAATAATTCGAGAGTATCCTACTTATTTTAGTAATGTTGTGAGTTTATTCTTTATATTGTTGGTGTGTGATATCACGAAACGATGCAAACGATATAATCTATCCAAATATTACATTCATCAAATGTCACGACCCAAACTACGCTCCGGTCGTGATGGCGCCTCTCGTGAAGACAAGGCCAGCCAGACCATTACCGAACACCTCTTTTAAGCAGTTAAATAGTTCATAAGCAGTTTAAATATGATTTAATGATATTGATTAGCGGATGTACAACCCAACACAGCCCTAATCGGGGTGTCACAAGTCACGAGCATCTATTAGAGTGTAAATACAACTACAAGGTCTAAAATATACAAAACAGGAATAATGAACAAAAGAGAGAAAAGCGGTGTTGCGAACGCTGGCAGTCACCTCGGCTAAACTCCTATAACTCTGCCTCCGATCTGCCAAAACCCGCTACCGGGTGAATAAATACCTGCATCTGCATACGAGGTGCAGGGAGTAAAGTGAGTACTCCAACTCAGTGAGTAATAAAGGTAAATAATAACTGAGCAGTAAGAAATCACGTATAACAAATCATCATGCTGTATAGAGCAGTGCAAAACCCTTTTGAGAAAAACAGTGAAGCTGTGAAATCTTTAGAGAAACATCTTAGCTCAGTTTCAACCTCTTTTGAAAATGACTTTTTCAGCGGTCACGCAAAGGAATGCAAACAAATAGTGCAGATAAGCACAGAAATCTGCCCCTCGGGCACATCACTCAGTTATCAGATAATGCCAGGAATTCAGGTAGATATTGCATGAAGTAGCATAGACAACAGATAATGGCAGGCAAATGAAATAAAGTAAACACATAGGACAGTACCAGTACCGCTGCGGCGTGCAGCCCGATCCATATATCGTCGACGGCGCTCACTTGGGTTGTGCAGACTCCGGGAAGGGCCCCTTACGGCCCAAGCGCAATATCAAGCCATTTCGTGGTGTACATATCTCAGGCCCTCGTCCTCATAATCAAATCAGTATATCACTGCTGTGGCGTGCAACCCGATCCAAAAGTATCCTCACGACACATACCCTCGGCCTTACTCAGTCAGAGATGACAGAAGCCCCGCAGGCAACAGTAAAACATGACGCTCAGCCCTAAAATATTGTTGGAAATATCATTTCATGTGTTATAGTAAAATCAACTTGGCTGAGTTTTGAAAATAGTGGAAAATACATGACTGAGTTCAACTATAAAATCAAAACAGTGAGGAAACAGTGATAATAATCCCCGAAGGGTTCAAATAGTTGGCACGAAGCCCAAATATGGCAATCAACCCAAATCATGATGACAACAAGTAAGTTTCAGTCAAATACACGGTAAATTCATCAATCGGGACGGACCAAGTCACAATCCCCAACGGTGCTCTACCCCACGCTCGCTATCCGGCGTGCAAGTCACCTCAATATAGCACTACGATGTGCAATCCGGGGTTTCAAACCCTCAGAATATCATTTACAATCATTACGTACCTCGAACCGGCGAAATCTCTAGCTCGCGACGCTTTTGCCCCTCAAATCGGCCTCCATCCGCGTCGAATCTATCCAAATTCAGAACGAATACGTCACAATATGCTAAGGGAACAAAGCCCAAGCGAAAACAATCAATAACAGGCACAAATCCCGAAATTACCAAAACCCGAGCCCAGGGCCCACTTCTCGAAACTCAGAAATTTTTACATCAATAGATTCCTTATCTTCCCACGAGTTCATACATATCAAAAGTTCTCAAATCCGACCTTAAATGGTCCTTCAAATCCCAATTTAAAAGTCCAATTTCTCAAGCCCTAGTTCTTCAATTTTAGGCTTAGTTTCCATGAATATCTAGGTGGATTTCACAATAAAAAAGAGTTTTAAGTTCAAAATCTTACCTCCAATTGATTTCCCTTGAATCCCTCTTTAATCTCCACCAAGAAGCTCTCAAAATGGTCAACCATGAAGGAAAAATGACCCAAAATCGCGGATGAAGTGACTTAAAACATTCTGCCCAGCACTGACCGTTACTTCATCGCGATCGCGACCCAAGTCTCGCAATCGCAAAGCACTAAATTTCCACCTCTCAAATTAACACTATGCGAACGCGATGATGCTGCTGCGAACTCGATGCTTTAAATCCTAGAGCTACGCGAACGCGACCCCAAAGATGCGAACGCGAAGAGCAAAACACCGGACCCCCAATTACTTATACGCGAACGCAAAATACTGTACGCGAACGCGAAGCACAAGCTCAGGGCCCTCCGCTAACGCGAGACCTCAAACGCGAACACGAAGGCCAAACTCAGGCCAGCCCATATTCCTTCTACGCGATCGCGAGGGACCTCACGCGATCGCGAAGGCCAAAAATTGACTGCAACTGCTGCTGAAATTTTTCTGCAACTCCTCAACATAGAAATTGGTCCGATTGACCATCCGAAACTCATCCGAGGCCCCCGAGACCTCAACCAAAGCTACCAACATAACCCATAACATCATTCAAACATGTTCCAATCATCAAAATACCTCAAACAACATCAAATTACCCAAAAAACTCATTGAATTCAAGCCTAAGTTTTCTAAAAACTTCCGAAATACACTTTTGATCAAAACCCAACCAAACCACGTCCAAATGACCTGAAATTTTGCACACACATCCCAAATCGCATAACGAAGCTACAACAACTCTCGGAATTCCGTTCCGACTCTCGGATCAAAATCTCACCTATCAACTGGAATTCGCCAAAATACTAACTTTGCCAATTCAAGCCAATTCCTTCAACGGACTTCCAAAATGCATTCCAATCGCGCCCCTAAGTCATAAATCACCCCACGAAGCTAACCAAATCATAAAAATTCCGATCCGAGCTCATATACAAATAAGTCAACCCATGGTCAAACCTTTCAAATTCAAAGCTTTCAACTGAGACTGTTCCTTCAAATTCATCCCGATTTTCCTGAAAACCAAAACCAACGATCTACCTCAGTCATAATACATTACACGGGGCAAGTCATGCCCGAGAACTGGCGATCAAAGTGCAAAAGCTCAAAACGACCGGTCGGGTCGTTACCTCCTCCCCCACTTAAACACACGTTCGTCCTCGAACGTACTCAAAGTTATTTTAGAAGCCAACCAATAGCTGAATAACCTTACTATGCATATATCCGGGGGTGATCTCACGTCACCCTATCTCGTATAGGTCCGAATACACGTAGTAGCTGAAATTACCCAGTCCAATCTAGCCCATAAATCATAGAACCACATTTCCACTACCGATATCATCCACAAGACCAAAATCTCACATCTATACTCTGAATAAGCCCGAACCAGCTGTAATAACCCATACGTGCAACCTCAGGTGCAATTACATGATAAACCACATAACTTTAACGCTCGTAGCAATAACTTCTATTCACAGCAACTGTACACAACACCCAAATACCGATGGAAAAACTCTTATCAACTAAGTCTCATTCCAACACTTTCATATACTGCCAACCATCAATGAAACACGCAATAAACCATAACCATTTCTCAGATTAACCATTCATGAAGCCGCTTCTCCTCTGGCAATAACATAGCAAATTTCTGAGCCGAACCTCGATCTTACCCTTCCGACATGCTGAAATCGAATCCGTTCGTATTCATTAATGATCCCAACGATCTCCTCTAATCCAACACACCACTCTGGTGACATGACACGTCAATAGAGGCCTAAGCCACAACTAGCATAATACACGCACCAATATGCAACGGTCCGAACAGACTCAAATCATGAAAATGGTTCAAATGAAAGAGCTGTACCACAAGCTCACCAGTACCACCACAACAAAAGGTTGAGAACCCCTCTCACATCATAGAATAGAACACACGAATCTAACCCGCAAGGTTATATCTCCACATAGCCTCGCCACAATGCACGATCCTATCCAAACACTGCTCCACATGAGACACCTCAAGTCACTATGCCCGAAACTGACAACCACGCACAATTTGATGCCTGAAACCAAAGAGAACCATTACACCCTCGGTGAAACAAGTAACATAAACCACGCAAACCCGATAGGACATAACTGATACGCCACCCACCGAGCAACACCCAATCACTCTTCCCGCTCGACTTCCACTAAGAACCCCAATAGAACCGCACCATATGTGCCCATAACCAACAAATCATAACGTCTCGCAACACAGGAAGGCCACTCATAGATTTCCCCAGATCGCCAACAAGCTCAATAACGATAGAATTAACCTATCCCTCAGCAATACGATTCGGGGCCAACCAAGCCGACCCAAGCTAGAACACGCATCCACATTGGCCTGCCAACGAACTCATTATCAAGGAAGCCTGAAGCTTCTCCTTCCACTACTATAACTTCTGTCGGAGCCGTACAATACGGTGCCCGGCACCAAATCAATACTAAAATCTCCAACCTCGCCCGGCGACATGCCCGGCCACTAGAAACACATCCGAAGGTCCTTCAACACTGGAACTGAATCGATGGTAGAAACTTATGCACTGACATCCGTCACGAAGGCCCAATTAAGAAAAATAGCCCTTCCCAGCCGTTCGCTGGT